AAAAAATTTATTGTATTGAAATACATATTTAATTGTTGTTTTTTTTTTATTTATGTAACTTTGCATTTTAATTAACTAGAAATTTATTGTGAGAAAAAAAGAATTAAGAAGCTCTAATCTTTATCTTTCTTCACGATTGAGATTATGATGTTGGAAAAAAGGAACTGCTATCATACATCTCTCATACTGAGTTACTTAAAATGGTTCAAATTTGTAAACAATAATAAAACATTATTTATTACAAACAAAACCAACAATTGTTTAATTAAATTTTACTTCAAGCTAAAGATTTTTCTTTTTTATAAAATTCTTTTTTTGCAAATCAATGTAAACAATACTAATGAAACGGTTTGATTATCTCATCAAGATATTTCTTCATCAAACTCTCTCAATCTTTTTGTCTGTGGTTTGAAAACCGAAACAAAAGATAAATCAACAAAGACTGCAATAAATAAGCCATTTCTGATAATTTGAAATTCATTAGCTAAGGGAAATCTATCAATAAAGAAGTGATAGAACAGTGTCACGGCAAGTGGGTCATAGATAGGTTTTTTTTCATAAGTTCGCGGTTCTGCGAGTCTGGAAATTCACAGTATTTTTCATAGCTTTTATTATAGATCAGCACGTAATGCGTCCAACGATTCACTTGAGTGATCGACTTCAACAATATATATCAAGTTAGTGGTAAAAAAAAAGAGCGTTTAAACACTTGAGTTTCAGTAAAATAGAGTTTGAAAGTTTAATTCATAAAAGACAAGCGTGAGTGTCTGATTAGTCTGAAAGTTAGTTGCTTCCACTTTTATTATTATGCCTCATAAGTGATGCTCTTTTTGAGCTACAAATACCTTATCATTTATTCACTTTCTCACTTGCCAATATTGTTTGAAGGTAATATAGATATGAATATTATTAGCATTTCAATCCTAATGTGATAAATACGTCACTGAAAGTAGAGCTAAAGTGTCAATAGTGGCTAGAAAATTTTTTGTCACGTTCACTTTATTAAATGGTCAGCTATTTATGACTTGCTACATGCCATGGACATTTTTCATCCCCAGTATGAAACAAAAATCAATGCAATTCAGATCACAATAGAATAATTTTTTATTGTATTTCAGAAAATGATTTAAATGATAATGATGAAAATAGTCAACAAATTTTATTTGAATATTTTTGAATTTAGATCAATTGAGTAGTTTGAAAAAGTTTTGATAATATGAATAAGATAAGTTGAATAGTTATATAAAATGATTTCAAAAAATAATTATCATTTAAAAAAGTTACTTTAAGGTAGATAATAAAAAATGTTGGTTAACTAAACAAATATTTTATATTTATAACAAAATTATATGAAACATGCCATTATGAATGGGACACTAATTTAAATAATTAGCTCTCCATAAAGTTGTGAGTTTGAATAACCAATTAACTGGTTTGTTCCGTGAAAAATTAAAATTAAAACTTTTAAATATTGTATAAATAAAAATAAATCTTTAAATCCAATTTTAACATTTTCAACTTTGAAATAAAAAAAGCTTTTTTCTCATTCAAAAAAAGACATGATTAAAATGATTTATTATATGTCAGTTTATTTCGTTTTCCTGGTGCCAGCGTCAATTTTCCAGAATTTCCCATTAAAACAATAGAATTGAACTGATAAGCTACGAAAGTGAGTCGAAATAAAATATTGAATAAGGTTTAAACGTAATATCGAAATAAAGTGCTATTTTATTTCATAAGTAAAGTTAATTGAAAGCTATGATGAGAAAAAAAGTAGTCGGTATCATTATACGGTCGAATGCATTTTCAAAACCGGAATCTCGGAATGCAATTATTTACATTTTATCTGAACTTTGATCAATTCGTAGCTCTCTGGTCGACTTTTATATCATTTTCTCGCACTTTATTTGGTTTTCTACTGTTGTTAGTAGCATTTGCCAATGCTACCAGTGATCATTAAAGAAGTCTACACACTCACTTAGTCTAATATACTTCAACACTCTTTCAAATTCTTTACTCTTGATAGCAAAAGATGATTTCCTTCAAAAAAAATTGTTACTTAATTGAATATTTTTAAAATGACAAGAAATTGTTTTTAAAAAGTATGAAAGATGATACTGGAATATATGACAACTTTTCACTTTCAACATCTAGTAGATTAAAAGCTATGAATAATAAACACTCACGTTAGAGTGGTAACAATAACAAAGAGTAAGATTTGCAGAGTTGAAGTGAGAGACGATTTAGTCGTATACATTTAAGCCCATGCTATATAGTATGGCAAAGTTTACCTGGCTCGGACGCGACCAAGTCTCGTGAATTATTTCTAAGCAAACACTACATCAGGGAGTTCGACCCCATGATGATCCCTCTCTTCTAGTCGCGAGATCCTCCCGCGGGCTTGTCGTACTCTGTGTCCCAATGTAGTCCTATTCACTGTATTCCTCTGAAATAGATTATGGCTTTGTTGCCGAGCCTGAGTATTTCAAAACAATACTAGAATATTGTCCCCTCTGCATGAGACAACCACTGACATCCGGCTTTGAATTCACAGAGCTTACGATAGCCCAATGATAAAGATACATACAAAGCTCTTAGAGAGGAATTAAATCAAATCTGCTGCTCGAAGCTATTAATCGATCACGCTTTTGTATTGTTATTGTGTGAAATTATTTTATCATTACTATTATATCTGATACAGAGTTCATGACCAATCAAGTTTTAACATTTTTGTATTTTTGTTATATTTTTGTTTATTTATGAATTAAATAATTAAATAAATAATTTAAATAAATGATTGAATGTAGAAATTTCATTAATTATTACTTTATTAACTTGGCAGTTATTTTTGAAAATGCAATTAATCAGGTTATTAATAGTATTTATAAATGATGATAATTCAATCAATTTTAAAATATTCAGATTATTTTCAAATAAGTTAAATTTTATATCTCATAGACAATGTTTAATTTATAAATACTGCAATTCAAATATGTACTTACTTTACTGACTAATCGATAAAAAATTTATTCAACATACTTTTTTATTTCTATTTATTCTTTGATAAGTAAAGAATATTGGAGCATTATCACTTTGAGCATGTTTACAATTAAAGTATTAAATGAATTATTTAATATTATGAATAGAGCAAATTAAATAAAATTTCATAATTATTTCAAATGAAAATTAAATCATTATGTTATTTATTAACGATATTGTATCTTGAAATATAAGCTGTTATTAACTGATTAAATATAAAAAATTCGAAGTAAAATTATCAGTAAAAAAAAATTAATTTTTCTTCTTTGAAATTACACAGTGTTATCATTGATTTGGTAATAGACTTTACGATATGATAGACTATTTTTAGATACAGAAAATTTTTAGATTAGTCTAGAATGTACAGGAGTGAAAAAATTCAGAATCTTTTTTCAGTTAATTATTTTTACACAAGAAAAAAAAAAATTGAGAGTTGACTAATTATCGTTACAGATAAAAGTTTCTTTTCTCTTGTATATGCTGCCTGCTGTCAATCTTCTGTTTTATATTATTGTCAAATTATCAGGTCAGAATGGTATGATTAAGTTATCAACGTCAATTTTGCCAGTTTTAATTTGTAGGGAGTTGAAGTAATGATAAAATTTGACATGAAACATTTATTACTGTTCCATTTTATCATGTTCAGAAATATATGAAGAAATATTGTTCTACTTAACCAAAATATTATAAATAATTTAAAAAATTATCATCAGTTCTGGTAAACAAAAAGAGATACTTTAATTAGAAAGAAAACTGTAATAAATGACAATTAACTGAGTGTAAAAATAATTGTAATGGATAAAAAATATTTCTGCAACTTAGGTTAAAATAATAAACATTAAAAAAGTTTTAAACTAATCGTTATAATAAACTTATCAGTAGTATTAAAAATACAATACTCTAGAGAATCCACCATTAATTTTTTTATCTGGAAAAATTTGTAAAAATTCACAGTTGAGAAATTTTTATGATAATTATCAAGAAGGAATATGAAAAGTACTTGCAAGACTTAACGATTCTCATTGACTTTATAAAGCTTCTAGCAGTTTAGTATCTTTAAAGTCACACCGGTTTTCATTTAGTTAAGTATAGGTATTTAAATACACAAACCTAATACAACTTTAAATAACACAAGTTTCTCCCAAGGAAAGTATGATTTTTAATTTTAATTCTACAAAAACAAGTATTCTGTTTGGTGATTTGATATGTCTCCGCATTAATCATTTTATATCAAGTAATTATTAAACTGTTAATTTGTTTCAAGTAGATTATATTACTGATTGCTCTTCAAGTTACATGCCAGTGATAGACTATACTGGTAATCTTACGTTATCAGTAATTGCCTTTAAAGGAGAAGGAATGAACTAAATTATCATTTAGCATCAAAACTATTTTATCTATGTAACGTTATTTTTTTCACCAGCTATCACATGAATTTATACTAAATTCATCAGTGAGATAGAAATAAAAAATACAATGACTCAGTTAGTTCATTGAAGTCAATTATCCTGTTTACGTAATATCTTTGACCTTCAATAATGCAGTATCTGTTGTTTCAATTTTCAACACTTGGGTGATGAGTTAATTTTTCTTCAATTAAAATAAAATTTGCATTCTCCAGCAAACGATCAGCTTAATACTATGCTATTTTTAATTGATTGATTGATTGTTTGTTCATTTAAATAATGGTATTTTTATGGCACAGCTTTTTTATGTTACTTATCATCACGTAACAGCTATTCAAGAATTTTGTTCAATATATTCAAAAACAATACTTATTGTTGTTAAAATGATACTTCGTGATAATCAATTTAATGCTAAATTATTTTTAGCCAACAATACTCTAACTATAATAAAATTTTCCTATGATTAATTACGGGTTTTATCTAAAAATGATTCCAATATGTTGATCAATCACTCATTAATGTCAATAAATATGAGAATAAACAAAAAGCACTCACCGGAATGTGATGCCCTTGATTTCAGCAATGGTTGGATTATCAAGATAATCTTCATCACTGTTTCTAATAACATCATTATCAATGTCAACCCTATCACCATTCACCACAATATCATTAAGGTCTGCAAAGTTATCATGTACCTCTACTATTTCACCTTTACTAACACTAGTAACACCATTTGTTGCGGCATTAGTATCCCGTGAATTTGGACTTGCACCGGAATTGTCACTCGCCGTTAATTCCTTGCTTGCATTTACCCTCTGTAGAAACTTACGATGAAAATTATTGTACACTGAATCGCGACCTGGATCGTCGCCTATTCTAACTCTCCCATGACTAGGAACTAAATGATGACCACTATAACCCAAGTCCATTTGTAAGTCCATCACAAGCAAGAATGTAAACAGTATAGCAAAAGCACTGAAGAAAAATATCAATTTTTCCCGTATACGCATCATTTTCACACAAATCTTCATATCTGATTGATCAGCACCACTTGGACGATAAGAAACTCCTTGTTTCTTTTGCAAAAATTCTAAACGTTTCTTACGAAACTGCTGCTGTGATCGTTTTGGATTTAATCGTCGTTCATTTTTACCCTTTATTTCCACCCGACTTTCATTTTTCTGGACAGAAAGTAAGTGTTCACTCACTGTTAAATCACTTTCACTAGTTAATCCCACAGGGTCCAAAGAACACTTGCGCACCAATGACCAACAAGTTGGATCTTTGTCCACGTCGTTGAGGCAATAATTACTTGGATTACTTTTCTCAGAATAGATCACCTGCCGTTCTGCTTCAACAAACGACGAATTAACGCACGGACCATCAAGAAAATCTTTCTTTTCAATCTTTCCTTGACTTTGTTTTATTACATTCTTTTTCAGTAACACTTTAGTATCTTTAACTTCTTCCGCTTCTCCAACTACATAGCACTTATCAACAGATGTTTTAATTGCACACGTATTTAACTCATCTTTTAGACTAACTTCTTGAGTATTTACATAATTTACAAGCTCACTAACTGTCACAGTCGTATCACGAGTGTTTCTGAAACAGTCGTGCGTGTTTGATATTAACGACAATGGATCAGTTTTAGAATTAAACCAGTGATTCGAACGCAATTCGTGAGGCAACACGACTTTATCGCGTGACCTATGGTGATTATCAAGTGTATTAAATGACCCTGAAAAGTTAGCGTTTATGTCTTCTGGTGGTGGAGAATTTTTTAGCTTCTTTCTCGTTGAAAATTTTGAACAATTAACAAAACTTTCACCAAGTTTTGATGGCAAATCTAAACTTGTTCGACTATGACCTGGACGTTTGTATGTCCTTAAATCATTTTCCAAGTCCAGTAAATCACTGCGTTCATCTTCATAAATTGAGCAAAAGCTTTTAGAACGTCTAAATACTTTGATTTTAGGTAAATTACCGTTAGGAAAATTTCCTACTGAACTTATGGGACGTTGACGTCGTTTTATTAATGATTGATGCTTGGGCCAGGAGTCTAAAGTTGATTTTTTTTCATCAATCGAACGGAAATTGTCTTTAGATTTGATTAGTTTATAAACATCCTCAACGGACACGCTTGGCGAACTTGATCGGCGTTCGTTTTTTCCTTTTGACGCTTGAATATACGAGCTCAAACAGTCTTCACACCCAAGGGAATCTTGTTGGATGCTCTCCCATGAAGATGGATCTCTCGGGAGATTAGACAAGCAACTTGTACCGATCGACGAAACCCTGTCTTTAGCTTGTGTTATATCTACTTTGCTATTGCTTATAGTTGTTGCTTTTCTTTGTTCATTCAACGGTGAAGAGACTCGTCCTCGTGATCTTTTAGTTCTCAAGGGTGGTACTGGAGAATATTCCAAGTTCTGCTTAATATTTCCACTGCTCTCACTTATAGAAAATTCATTTCTCAATTCACGTGGACTCTTTTGAATATTTTTCACAAACTTCTCACACCCTGCATTCCAGTTCTCTCTTGAAGATCTCAGTAATCTCTTTAGTAATGAGTCGTTACCTTGATCTTCGAAAAACTTCTGCTTTTTAAATTCTAATTCTAAAGATTTTCTTTTTCGAGTGTTACATTTATTTTTTTCTTTATTCGACTCAATTAAATCATCAAATACTTGATCTTCTACGTTGTTACTTTGATCAGGTCTAAATGTTCGAAGATTAATAAGTTTCTCATCCTGGTTGGCTCCATCATCTTCACGAGATTTAAGTTGAGTCTTTGATCTTGGATCGTAATTACTCGATGAGTGACGAGTATTCGTTTTAATTGGACATTTATGGCTATCTGAGAATATCTGGTGGCTTGAAGAAGCTTCTTTGGAGTTCCAATTTGTCGATGGACATTTCACCTTGTCCAGAGTTTCTAAGAAGAGAATTAACTCACGTGTTTACGTACGTACCAAAGCCTTGTTAAGGTCGGCTAAGTTTGTCGCTGGATTATCTTGAATTTGGAATGTTCACGAAAGTTTCTTATCAAAATTTTAGACAGAGCTCAGCTGGGTGGCTTTCTAGAAAATTTATCCACTGATCTTCGTCCTGGAACGAAAGAAATGAAAAATAATTAATGAAAATCATTCTCCTTTAATAAATATTGATGATTTAAACTATACTTTTTACTTTTGAAAAAATTATTCTTTACACAAAGAAAATGAACTTTATTCATTGAAATATTTCATTATCTATATATATGTATGTATGACCTATTGAAAGAGATTCTATTGTTCTAATTACCCTTGGATTTATGTAACATATTAGACACATCAAGTTACTTTGACTCGAAAGCTATTTATTACAACGTCGAATACAATATAAGCTTAAAGATCATCTGTCCAAATGATAGATTTATTCAGACTACAATTAAAAATGTTTATTTTTATTTTTTAAATGGTATCTATGAGCTATTAAGTAAGAGAGGAAGTTATCAAACAGGACAAAAGAGTCAACTATTTTTTTGCATTAAAATCAAATGATAGGTAGAATTGATTAAAGTGTTGTTTTCACAGCAGAGTATTGAAACCTGAGAGAAATAAAATTGTATGATTGTTTACTGAAATTGTTGATTTATTATTATGTAAGAAAATGACCACCTTGAAAGGTATTCTCAGAACGAAGACAAACATTAGATAGATAGGTAAATGCATACTACTAGTAGCGATTGAGCAAAGAAAAGTCTAGAATTATGGTACAGGTCAAGGTATATTTTGTGCAGGTAGTGCAACCGAACATCAAGGCAAAATAGACGTATGATAATGGGCAAGTGTCGCATGCCAGTGTTGGTACTTTGCTGTAAGAGTGTCCATTACAGTTATCGCACACTCATACAGCACATTCTAGGGTGCCCATCTCTCGTTCTCTCGTGGTGCAAAATGCTGTACACAGCAATGATATTGTATGCTTTGGCCTTCTTTAAAATGCGCCCCTATACGTATATAATTCAAGTTCCACCTTCCAGTTTTCTCGACACTTTTGCTATCTTGTAACGGAATATAACGAGTGTGTTTTGCCCACACAGAGAATAAAGTCTTAGTTGAATATTTTAGATAAATATGGCTGAACTTTCTAACTGGTCTCGTATTAAAAAGATAATTATTTATTAATAATTAAAAAGTATTCTTTAATATAACGTCAAATAAACTACATTTTTTTTTGTGTTAAACAAACGCGAAATGAACTTTTTTAATAATTGTAAAAAAAAATTGTTTTATTGAAATATTTTCTCTTTTCTTCATGCCATATAATTCACAATGCAATATTTTTTTGAATCAATAAAACCTAGATTTTTTTTTGTCAGCCATGAATGTAATTTATTAATAAAAAAAAATGATTCTTGTGTCTTATCTCTAAGCCACAAATAAAAAACATTTAACAGAAAAATAATCCAAGCATGTCAATTTTAAAAAATAAATTGATTTTACATAAAAACCTAAGTTTAATTTTTTGCTTGCTTTTATCAACAATGAAAATAGCAAATATTATTAAACACAGTTCAAGTCTAGAATGAGAATAAAATAGATTATTCCACTGTCTGGGTCAGTGAATAAATAAAATAAATACAAAGCAAAACAATATCTTCTTATCATTATTTCTCTTTGATAGGTTAATTAAGATGGATATTGACTAAAACACTTTTACTGTTGCAAATAAGTTGGAGGTTATTCAACTGCTATTAATTGTGATTTATATACAATGTTTGGATTATAAAATGATTAAATGAAAAAAAGTGAAATAGAAACAAATATAAGTAACAAAATTTCTATGGTAGATGGATTTCCAATAGTAATATTGGAATAACTGAATTGGAAGGGATACTTTTGTGAGCTCTTAGAATGGTTGGAAAAATGAGATGGGTATCATAAAAGCGATTCAATTCCTTGCCCAAAGAGAGATGACAGTTATTCACTCAGTCTGTTCATTTATATGGATTTAACCATTCATATTGAATTTAAATATCATTGATTTTGATTAACTACCTCAATTCTGATTGTTTTAATATTTAACAACTGTTTCTATTTATTTATCAGTATTGGAAACCTAACTTTGCTACATTATCATCAACTTGCTCGTATCTACAACTTCATTCATACAGTTATTTATTTCACTAATAATAAAAAATCGAGAGATGATTAGAAACACTGGATTTGATTGACACATAATATCTATAGGCTTTTAAATATATATTTTTTATATGTAAATTCTGTAAGTATCAATTTAAATTGTAACTATCCAATAATAATGACACCTGTTTTATGTAGGACTGTCTGATACTAAGGACTCAAATTAGTACTAATTAAATAGATTTTTAAGCAATTGATCTTATTTTATTTTATTGTATTTTAATCTTGAAATTAAATCAGACTATCAATAAATTAAAAAAAAATGTGTACAGTAGTAATGTATGATGTACAGAGATTTAGTTGAAAAGTAAAATGTTAAATGATAAAATAGTTTTTTGTTTGTAGAAAGTATTGAAAGTTTTTTTGTTTTAAAACTGAAAATAGAAACTGGTGAAAAATATTTTTTATCAAAACTATGTACAAATGAATATTTAAAACAACTAATGAGTGAGAAATATATTTTTTTTTGTTTATTGTAAAGACATGATTTATTTTTTTTTTATCTATTGAAATAATCCCTCTACTGGCTTTTGTATTCTGATTAATAAAATTTTCTGTAAAATCTAAAAGAATAAATGAAAAAAATGTATTCATTTTTTGTAGTCTATCCATGGATTATTCATCCAATTTTTTATATCAAATAATTGATAAAAAAATTCTAAAAAATAGTGATGGAAGTAAACTGTACTTAATTTTAATTTAATCAAAACCTAAATTTTAAAAATATATTACAAAAATTATTTGATGTATCTAACAAGTGTTGCTTTAGTAGTAAATAAAGCAAGGACTTACAGAGTGCACGCTATTCATGTTAAATTCTAAAAAAAAATTAATATATAAGCATGCAAACATTGTCTTACATGACAAATAAAAATTTAAAAATAGTTATTTCATTAAAAATAATGAATCGCATTAACGATTTGACCTTCTTATTCATTAAATACAAAATTAAGATAAAAAAATATTAATAAACTTTCATTCTTCAAATGATTTTTTTTTTTAAATAAACATCTTATTTCTGTTAAATTAAAAAATTTAGAATAATTTTTCCAGGTAATTCTTGATTTTACTTTAGCAGCTGAACTGTTAAACACTCGAGAATTAAAAGCAATTAACTAACGGCCAAATTCTTTTTCATATATATTTATAATCAGAGTTGAATGAAAGTTACAGTAAACGTTAAAAACTTTTTTCAAAGTCTATGAGAATTTTTTTAAATTTAAAATATTGGTTCTAATGGCCTCAACAGCTGGTTAAATATTACAGATTTGTAAATAATTTAAATATATAGGTCAAATTACTCGTGCTAAATTTTAATGGATTTTTAAAGTTCAATTAAATTTGTATGAAATATTCAAACAGATTTAATAAAGACTAAAATAATTTTTTTTCATTTACATATTTGTTCAATTTCTTTCATAAAACTAAACTTTTTTAATGATATAAAATAAGATTTAGTTACAATTGATTTCAACATGAATTAATGAAAATATTTTCTAAATGATAGAAATGAATCTTTAGAAGGAAATATATAACTTGATAAAATTACCTAAGAATGAAAGTTTTACCAACAAAAACAAAGTAACCACCGAAAAGAAAATAACCAGATGCCTGTTTTTATAAAACTTCATTTTCGTAATTACATAAAAGTGTATTTGTTATGTTTTGTTTTAATATCTCTCATTGCGTCATCATTTTTTTCGTTTGTTTTAATGATAACATTGAAGTACATACAATAAATTACATCAAAATCAAATAAAGATAGTAATAGAAATTATTTTATGTCAAGATGTTGTGCTCTCTTGTTTCGTCAACATTTTATTTTAAGATGCAATACGACCAGAATCACTGCCAGAATCTTTAACATTTCTTGTACGTCTCTGATGTTACAATATAATTGTACTCTAGTTCATATAAATAAGAACAATAGTGATACGTGAGAATCAAAATAAAAGTAACTACTACTTTGGGATATAGATGTTATAACAATGTCTACTTCATCTAGAGTCATTCACATTATGTTAAAAAAATTAAGTTAAATAATTGTACCAATTATATTATTGTGGCATAATTTTAATTAATTCATTATCAACAACTCTTTGAGAACAAATGAAAAAAAAAACTCTGAACTTTTAAGTTGATTAATCAATGATAATAACTGAATTAAAGTAGTATTTGAAATAAAATAAATAAAGATTCGTTATGTGCCAATAAAATATTTTATCTGATTGGCACATAGTGAGGCAGGAATGAAAATAGAATCAAAAGTTAGATTTAAAAGTAAGAGAAGTGAAAGTGAGTTTAGAAGAAGTTGAGATTTGTCATTAGAGTAACTTACTCCATCATCAGCAAGTTGGAGAGTGATCTACTGACTCGTTTATGTGTCCTCTTGGCCACAGTAAAGAAAAGTAAGCATCTCGAATTGCCTACTTCCTTTCTCAAACTCTCTAATTTCTACAATAAGTATTATAATGACAAAGATTCGTGAGAGAATAGATAAAATTTCCTTATAAAAAAATCAATAAACAATAGCTATCATAGCTAAGTGTTGAAAGAATGAGAAACTAAGTTAAGATGTAGAATTACATGTAGGTGGTTTTTCAAAATCACAACTGATTGCAGTTGCTGCATTTAATATCTTTTTTGTGATGCTAAAATTTTTTTGTAGTACAAAGTGAAATCAAATATTTCACAGGAATCTCTACTCATAAGAGTGAGCATATTTTACTGAGTAATGAGGATGTTTGATGTATAAAGAGAAATGATGGAAACCTACGAAGAGAATAAAAAGACCCTGCTGGAGGTCAACGTTTATTTCTTCTATTTATAAACATACCATTTCTATTTACGGAACTGCAGGACTACGGCCAACAAGTTGACACTGCGAATTTAAATCCACACTTTATTCTTTAGCAATTTTAT